ATAGATAGACGATAATAGATAGACGATAGATAGACGATAGATAGACAGATAGACAGATAGACAGATAGACAGATAGACAGATAGACAGATAGACAGATAGATCTCTGCTATGTCCTGGAGTGTGACATGATTTGTGTCACGTGCAGCGCAATTTATATGGATAGTATTTTTTTATAACAGTAACAAACCATAATGAAAACAGGCAAAAATGAAATAAAAATAAYGACKTTCTACTTCTTGCCTTTAGAAAAAATTTGAGTAGTCGAAAGTACAGATAAAACGTGTGAAATTGTAAGAAGCAGAAGTAAAAAGTAGGATGAAAAATAATTACTCAAGTAAAGTACAGATAACCAAAATTTCTACTTAAGTACAGTAACAAACTATTTGTACTTAGTTACTTTACAGCTCTGAATGTTACAAGAAAAAGAGCTGAAATAATGAATTTAGCTGGACCACAACTAAAAAAAAAAGGGGGGGGGGAACCACCACCACCTACCTGCCCGATGCACACAGCCAGTGAGAGGCCTCCCACTGATACAGACACACTTTTAGGCTGAAAATCCATCTTCACCACATCAGAGGCACTGAAAAGACAGCAGTAAGGGTTGTTAATGAGGACAGAAACAACACAAAGGCAGTTGGATGTGGTGGATTCATGGCTTTCTAAAACACAATACTGTATTTACAGTCATGACAAAGAACAAATAGCTTTGACACCTTTGTTGTCCAAACAAACACTTTCACAAAGAACTTAGATACACATCAAAAACTAAATAAAAAAAAAATTAATAAAAAGATAATGTTATTTCTTAATGACAGAACTTTAGTTCTCCTTATTTTTTTTATCCATACCTATACTCTTTCTTGTTGAGGTCTGTATAGCGTAGCGTATCATCCATGCTGCATGACACCAGATGTCCGGCTTCGTCAGTCACCATCTTGCTCACCTGGTTGCTGTGGCCCTTCCCTTTGAAGCAGTCATTCTGCCCAGTCTCTGCATCCCAATAATGTGAGGCAGACGTTAAGGGACCATACACCTTCAAAGACGCTACAGGCACCCTTTCATTTTAAAATTTAAATTGAAAGACAAATACAGCAAGAACATAAAACAGATTTATCATGTTAGGTCTCCAGCCTGAATAGCACTGAAACATCAGTCACATTGTTGCCATCTTTAAATAAAACCACATTTTCATCACCTAACCTGAGGATAAAACTAATCAGAAGTCTGCATCAACAGTTCTGTCGTGTCCAAACAGAACTGTTTGCTAATTTAAACAAAAGTCAATTCCTTGTTTTCATCCGATCTGGTTACGAAGCCATCCAGCACTGATGCGACTGTGAGTTAATGGCAGGCACTCCACTAACTGCTTGTGTCAGATGCATTAGATGAGTCAGACAGAAAGTACGACGTTTTCATGATCCAAAGGAGTTTTTAAAATAAAACACACCCAGCAGACTCCTAAATCAAATATCCCATCATCACAGCATAACCTGCAGCAGGAGGCCTGAAATGAATCAGCAATCAACTGCAGCTTGATGATGTTAAAGGACAAGATGTGAAATTACCGCCAGACCAAATCTGCTGGAAACGAGAGATGACCAGGCCCGACACGTGAAGGATAGATGAGGTTACAAAAAGTCAAYGCTTTAAATGAATGACTAGACTTGTTTAAATACTCTAGTTTAGATTTAGTGCGAGTTTTCTTCAGCAATCTTCCATAAAGCTTAGACTGATGACAAATGAAAAAAATTACCTTAAAGAATATTTAAGCAATCGCTCATTTCTCATTGCTTATTTTTAGTTAATTGGCTTTACTCTTTAGATATTTGATTTGACATTAAAGTTTTTTAGTCACTTTATATTAACCATGATTGAATTATGACAAGAAAAGTGTGAAACTTCCAAGAGTGTGAATCATTATTACTAAATCTCTCTGCTGGGTTAGGAGATATTTTACAAACAGGACAGAAACAAAAATGCACACACCAAAGCAAACATCACCTGCTTTTTGCCTTTTAGCAGAAGGTAATAAAATATTTAGTTTTTCCCCAGGTTGTGACCATTTTAAACAAAATTTAAAAAGAAATTGTTCTTTTTACAGATATAAGACTATGAAAGGATATTAATGTGTCCATCRTGACTCCCAGAGTAGATGTATGATCGGCCTTCACTTTTGTGAACCGTCAGACACTGGATGGATTTTGTGTGACCCTGTAAATAATAAATAAAATAAAATAAATTATTAGTCATTCGTCCATTTAGGCACTGCTGCTGCACCACTCGTAACAAGTTACTGCTATAAAGCTACTCTACAGGCTCATTCACAAGACTCCTTAGTCCAGGACTTGCACTACATTCACACTGCTGACAAATGTGATCCATATCAGACTTTTTCATGACAACCTGAATGCGACAAATCCAACCCAGACCTTTTCATTATGTGCTACTGAATGAGATGCATWTCTGATGTTTTTCAAACCGACTGCAGTCTGAACGCTCATGTCGCAGATCGATCCATWTAATAATGACAGTAACCTCAAGTAAYGCAGTTTAAATTTTGTAGCTCCACACGTCTTCAACTACAGAACAGAAATCMAGTTGTTTWATGTTTTTTATTTTAATTTCTCATWTCCACGATGACTGAGAATTCACAAAAACATATGATAGCACTGTGGTCAAAAGCTTACTGATACTCAAGTTACTCGTTCGATACTTTACYTCCAGTACATCGCTTCGTTCCAGAAATAAAATACTGCACTGGAGCATCCGGTCAGAGGCAGGTTCAGATTAAACACTAAGTTAAACAAACATGTTGGAATCTGTTCTGATTGTACAACAACTTCAGAATCGACATGCTAACAATAGGGCTGCCACAAACTATTATTTTTATAGTCGACTAATCACAGATTTTTTTTTGATTAGTCGACTAATCAGATCATACGTTAACTGAATATAAAACATAGAGCTTATAGCTCCAGAATGCAGCTGCTATTATATAACCAATGTTAGATTTTAGCTATATGCTAACTAAAAATAATTGCTGTGGAAGGCAGGTTCTGCCTTGCAGATATTGCACAGGTTTCTCTTTCATTTTCTTAAAATGATCCCACACTTTGAGCTCTGTTGTCAGGTAGCCATGATACCAGAGCCTGTCTGTATAATGTCTTGTGACGTTCACGGCCTACCCCAGTTACCACTACTGTGCATGTGTGTCAAGGTAGAAAGGCAGATGTGGCAGTGGAAGGTGTCAAAGCAGTTTGGAGAAAAAAACTAAGTAAAAAAGAAAAAACATGACTAATAATAATAATAATAATAATGCATTAGTTTTATTTAGCGCTTTTCGAGACCCTCAAAGACGCTTTACAATTTTCATGCATCATTCATTCACACTCACATTCACACACTGATGGCAGTAAGCTACATTGTAGCCACAGCTGCCCTGGGGGGCCCCTCTGACCACCATCAGTAGGCAAGGTGGGTGAAGTGTCTTCCCCAAGGACACAACGGCATGTAGGCATGGCGGGGAG